AAAATAGCAGCTCACTGGGCATTGCCACTGCTGTTCCCTCTCTCTGCTCTCTGCCCATCACCGTTTCAGAGCTGGCAGCCTGGTTTCAGTCCTTTGCTCTGACACAAGCCACAGGGTTACATTGCCAGCACTGTTGCTGTACCCTGCCCACAGTGGCTTCACAAGCCATGGAAAAATGAGAGAAATGGATGCTAGTTAGAGCCACAGGTAACTAACTGGAAGAGAGGAGGAGGATCTGGAAGTCTGCAACAAACTTTAAAAGGAGAAGAAAACTGGAAAGTGCTCTCATCTGATCTGCCTCGGTTAAATCCAGGTATATGCTGGAAGTTGAACCAGAAGCACTTCTTCATCTGTCTGGGCTTTTTCTTAGTTTTTTTGCTGCTCCTGTTCACTGGAGGATCTAGACACACAGCATAAAAAATCAATAGTAATTGTCTCTCTAGTAAGGAGCAATATTTCCAGAAATGTATCCCTTTCCCCTTTCAGTGTCCCTAACCCCTTTTTGGGTTTTGGGGATCCCTCAAATAAAGTCCTGGAGGAGAGGTACCAGAAAGTGTCTTGTTCATCAGCAGCCAGACCTCAGAACTGTCTCCCATTGCCTACCTCCCAATCCCATCTCTAAAAGCCAATGTTTTTTGTTTGAGAAGATGCTGCTGAACTGGCATCCCTTGGCTAGTTGGTTTTTGGTTTTTTTTTGTTTTTGTTTTTGTTTTTGTTTTTTTTTTTTCACAAAAAGCAGACCAATGCAGTTAACTGTGGATTTGGGGGTTAGCAAGTTATGATCTCGACTTAGGTAGTCATGGAGCAAAGCCTTCTGTTGAGGAGACATTTGCTGAAGCAGTAAGTCATCCTTTGAGGTGAAATATGCTATGCAATTGTTATCCTATGTGAGACATAGTTATATTGTGTCTGGATAACCAACCATGCATTGAAGAACATTGCCTCATTTAACACATACACACGAGTGCATATGTAGGATACACTATATTCATTCTTCCTAAAAACTTCCAGAGACACCTAAGTGCTTGTCTTGAAGACTGAAGCAATGTGATGTCGCTTATTTAATTCCTGCTACATATTAGTCAACGTTACTGCATTGCTGGAACAACTGTTGGTCAGAGTAGGCTACTATTTGGGTAATGAATGGAGGAAAAAACCTCACAGCAATACGTTCTGAGGGTAAGTTGAGTATATGATGACTCTTTCCTAGAACAGGATCAGATTAGCAATGTGAAGAGGTAGAATACCTGATTTAGGAAAAAGGTATATGAAATAATTGTCTTTATGCATGGTTTGGAGGGCTAACTAACTCATTCTCTCATAGGAAAAACAGCAAAGTGCTTGATGCTCCCTCTGGGTTGAAAATTTCATTCCTGTTTCTTGTGCAAGAGCTTTGTTCTGTAAATTGTGAGAGCACATAGTAGAAAGAATAAAGTTTTCAACTACTGGAATTAAATTGTTTCTTAAAGTCAAATGAGCACGCCACATGTTGGAGACCCTTACTTCAAAGCAGGTCAGTTAACTTCAATGAAGTCATCTCCAATTTGCTTTGATGTAACATCAGAAGCCAGCCCAGATGATTCCAAATAATCAGCAAATGAATTTCCACATTACAGTCTTTCAAGGACAGAGGTATTGTGAAGTGTCTAGTTTTCTGAATTCTTTAACTTCTGAAGTGCCTAATTTGACTCCCTTTTATTAAGGCCTGCTTGTGCTTTTTAATTATTTTTTTTTTGAGCTGATTGTTGTATGAAACTGAGCCCCCCCCCTTGAAGATGTTGAAATTGGGCAAGTAAATTAGTGACATGCAGCATCATTGCTTGCTATTAGTGTCTCCTAAGTCTAAGACTGTGTCATGCAGGGAGCTTAGGCTGCTGTGGTTTTCCCTTTGGGTGGGGAGAGATTTAGAGTCTCAAATGTGTAATTTCTGTAATTACTTGAGCAAGGACTGGTTGTCAGGCCAGGGATACCAACATTAGACCCATCTGTTCTAGTTTTTCCACAGGAAGTAATATTAAATAATAAAGCTAGTCTAAGTGCCAAATAGCCTCTCCTCCTAAATTGTAACAAAAGGAACAAATGTTACAATTTCTTTCAAAAGGAAGCTTCCTAAAATATTTTCAGAAATATATCATGTATATTGAAGCACTTTACTTAGGTAAAAGAATTTGTGGTGTTAGAAATGACTAAATGCAACACAACTCTGGGAGACTTTCAGTCATGTTTCAACATGACTGTCTTATTCTTCACTTCTCTTATAGAAAATTTTAATGAGAAAATTCAGATAGTCCTTCTTAAATACCTCAGTTATCCTAAGTCCTATCCAGGCTCCACACACTTGGTTGTGTCTCCTAGTAAGCAGCAATTCAACACAGTGCTATGATTTGGCTTTGTCTCTTGAGTGAATTGCTGCAGGAAATTTTGACTCATGACCTAGCTAGAGGTCTGGACAGCAGAGGCCCAATTTTATTGTTTCCAGTTACCTGAAAATGCAGCTGGGCAGAGATTCATGTGGCCAGCCTAAGATCACAAGAAAGACTCTCACCCCTCTACTTGTGCACAGAGGAGGAATATGGCTGAGACAAACATTGACAAACTTTCTAAATGCTTCTGCACTTACCTGAAGAGTTTCATGGATTCGAGAATAATATGAGACTTGAGTGAAAACTATATAGGTATTTGAAATAATACAATAATCTCTGGAAAACTTTAGCTTACTAAAACAATGGTTTGTTTTTTTAGCAGAAAGGTGATGAGCTCTGCTATCCTTCTGGGGCTGGACTTAGTCCAGCTGAACTCAGTTCTTGCATTCTCCTTGTACAATTTGAGACAGGACACGAGCACTTTCTTACTTGTGTTCTGGGTTAGTTCTATATCTTACTGAAGGACAATGTGTTTGGGAGTGGAAGGCAACATAGGGAGGAAGAGCAGTCATTAAACAGTGGGAGGGCTCTGATGTTATCGAGTGTTGATGGGTATGTCATCAAAGGTGGTCCACGATCCTAGTTCAGCAGTGTGACTGACTGAAGAAAGAACTCCACTGAGACCACGTTCCCTTGCCTTGAGCATACCTTTCATTTCTCCTAGCATTTTGTTTCACTTACAGCTTTGAAGAAGATCATTATTGATTAAACATTGGTATCAATCCCAGTAGCCTGGTGCTTTGGTCTTTTCTCTCTGTGTCCCAGCGATGGAATACGCTAGAAAAAGATTCTGTTTTGAAGCTTCATCTTTCTACTTTCCCTTCATGGGTATGTTGCCTGTGAGGTTTCTGCTCATGCCTCTGTTCAATCTTCCTTTCTAGTGAGACCTGGAATTCACCTCCCGCACACACCTATAATGAGACCATGGCTCTGGGAACCTCTTGTTTTCCCTTCAACAACTCCCTAGGACTGAATGCTTGGCACTGTCTGAATTTTTCAAAAGCTTGATTATGCCAACAATGTTGTTCTGTAGGGCATCCTTTTTTTCTTCTTCTGCCCTCCCCTGTCCTGCTAAGATTCATGATTCACTCTGAGACAGTTGAGCATTTCAGTGCATGATGATGAGGAACATAAAGAAGACATCAAAGAGAAAAATACAAGCAAGGTCTGGCCTGACTTGGGAGCACTGGTTGCGGTACGAGGTATGTGTTCTGTCCCAGACCTTGCTGTGACCTGGAGAAGCCAGTTCCAGCTTTGTTCTGCCTGGGTGTTTGTTCCTAGCAAACGCTGACAATTTCTTTCTGTCTTTTTCTTCAATTGTTTAATTGAAATATAATGGCTTTTTCATCTTGAAAAATTCATTTGAAAAATGCTGAGCAGGTCAAACTCTACTTGTTTTCCTCTGTGTTCTAAATGATTTGGAGGATATTTGCACGTTTCTGTGTGGTATTCCCAAGACTGTTGAAAATAACTCTTTCGCTTGTAATGGCTTGTTGATAGCGAGCCTCTTGGAAAGGAAAGCTTTGACATGAAATACAGGATATTTGAGGAGCTTATTTATGAGAATTCAGCACCATGCCTGTTGCTGTGGCAGAGGTTCTTGGCAGTGTGATCATATGGGCACTTTTTCTGTTAGTTTACTTTTGGTTTACGTGTATTCTTGAGTTCACCAGTAACACATCGGTGACTGAAACATATAAAAGCATTGCTCATAGTGCTAATACCTCAGCACTAACCAAGTGGAGCCATTGTAGCCAGTGTGTTCACACTTTTTAATCCTATAATCTGCATAGAGCTGAGTATCTTACATAATATACATCATTTATCTGAGAGCTGAAGAACAGAGGAAGCCTGGAGTAATTCCTGGGTAAGAGGTGGTGTCAGTTCCCTGGTAGCTTTAGCAGAAGTTTGTGGGAACAGGCTGGACAAGCTGTGCAGTTGAGTCCAAATGACCCATCTGTCAACTCAGAGAAATTAGGGTTCCCCTGTATGTCCTACCCATCAGCAGCATAGCTGTACTCCCAGCACGGGAACCAAACCTGAACCACTGGAGAGCTGCAGGTGGTCTTGGAGGCACAGAGCAGATACCTCAGCTCCAGCAGCAGTTCCAGAACTGACAGTAGGGAGTTAACCTGCCACATCTGTATGTGGCAGAAATTCAACGTATCTCCCATAAAGTGAATGGAGCTATAATGGGCTATATTGGGAAAGGGCCTGGCCTCCAGTTCTCATGAGGAAAATTTGTCTTCATCACCTTAATGATAATTAGGCATTTTGGACTGTCTAGAAACAAGACTCCTGTTTCCAGGGTGTTATACAGGAAAAAGGAGAATCATGAAATGTTCTAATTTATTCCTTATAGTTTGCTCATTATTAATTATGAACTGATACTATGAGATGTGTTGATATGGACTCTGGTTTGAAAAGCTGAAGGTCATTTCCACAGAGCAATGAGGGTTTCAGAGCTGAGTTTCATGGGGGTTCAGATCTTGCTTATTCTTTGTATGAATAACTGTTTGGTGTTGTTTTTTTTGTTTTGTTTTTTGGTTTGTTTTTTTTTTTGCCTTTTTCATTTAGGTCTGGCAAAACCCATGGGATTAGTTGAAGGTCCAGGAGGCTTGGGCCAGGGGGGAATGGCTGCTACCCTGAGAGATGATAGCCATGAATCAGAGACTAAGTATGAAGAATATGGTTACAATGCCCAGCTCAGTGACAGGATATCACTGGACAGGTCCATCCCTGACTACAGACCAAAAAAGTAAGTTGAATTCCATATTACTATTAAGAGTGAGTGATTGATTGTTGTTCTGTTGACCCGTGGGGTCATTCTTCTTTTCACATCCCTTCCTGGTTAGAGTATGACAACAGTTAGTCATACATATACCCCTGAGTATAGTGGAAATTAAAAAGACCAACTATCATCTCAAGCATGAAGTTCCATGTTAAATGCATAGCTAATTCTGTGAGTAATGCATTAATATGCACAATCAAGGCCTCAGATCAAAACCAACATCAGGATATTGGTGCTTATTTGGTTTGATTCACTTAGAAAAAGCCAAGTAGTGGCAGCTGAGCCTACAGTCAGAGGTCTCTTCTTATTGTAGTCGTGTGCAATGGAAGGTGGGGCAGTCATAACAAACACTTTGGAAACACTGGTTACTTAAAAAACCAAGCCATCAGATCAACTGCCTTTTCTTTAATTGCATTTGATGTTCCTAGAGTCATTTAGTCAGGGTTTACAGTGTGCTGAAACATGGCCTGAATGCAATCCATCAGGGTCCTATAATTGCACTAAGATTTTTTTTTTGTCTTTGGAATGTGTGATTATTTTTATTCCAGTGTTATAGTCTTCACATGCCTATGCTAGGTTTGAGATTGCAATTATATGTTAAATATTTGTACTGATTTATTATATTTTGTATTAAATGTCTTTCAAATATTTCATATTTATGGTGTTATGTATCTTCCAGATGAGACATCCTCACTCTCATCCTATGAATGACAATCAGTAATGTCTTAATGCAGAGGAGATCAGCAGCAATGCCTGGTTACTCTCAGGAGACAGAATTGAAAAGAATACTTAATTAATTTCTAATAATAATCTTCTGTTTTAAAAGACCCACTGGGGCTCCTAGGCAGAACTGAAAGTTAAATAAAAAAAAGTATCTTATTAAGTGGCGAGAAAAGTTTACCCAAGCAAAACAGCTGTGCTCTGTGAGAAATTGCAATTGAATTAGGATTTTGGGCAGTTCAAGCTGTGAAAAATGAAATCCAGCAAAACAAAACTTCATCTTAACTACAAATTTCATTAGCTGTGTTACATATTAATCTCATCTCAGAAACACTGATTCAGCATTTTTCTCAGATGCTTACTATACAAAAGAAAACCCAGATAAAAGAAGTGTTAAAGAGAAAAAATCCACTGCTTTGATATCACATTTGATGCAAGTGTATTGACTTGTCCAATGGTCTCATCTCCCCATGTCTCTTGATGTATCATAAAATTCCATCATGGAATTTTTCTAGGGAAAAACATAGACTGTAGTTATGTTAATATTTGAGTTGTCCAAAGACCCTTAAAATCTCCGTTAAGTTTTTCAGATGAGAGCCAGTGAGGTTTGACCCAGCCTTTTATTTCTGCTGCAGTCAGGTGGGTAATAAATGAGAATACTCTACCAGGAACTACAGAAGCAAAGGTTGCAGAGCATGAATCTAGCTCAGCAGCTGTCAGAAGCATGAGAGTGTTTGCAAAGCAGTGATGTTGCACTGCAGATGATACTCTTCCACAGTTTTACTTGGAAGCTTTGATGAATCATTCAGATAAGTTTTTTGACATGCTCATTTTGAGAATCTCATAAGGCCACCCTGGATCATAAACTGTCTGAGTTACTGGGAGAGCTGCCTTCCTTATGGTGTTTGGATACTTTTGAGATGGTTTTTGTTAGGTCTAGGGACCGGAACTGAAACACTTGTCTCTAGATACTTACGGGTAACAGGAAAACCCTTCAGACTGAATTTGTTATGAAAAATGAATGAAAGTTTGGAGAAGATAGAAGCTCTTATTATGTGAAGAGTTTTATCCACTTGTATGAAAGGAGCTTTGGCTGCCATTTTGTTGTCATTTTCTAGTAGAAATTTCTGCAGTCCTCATGAGGAGCGTTTCTTGTCTCCAACCCCTTCAAATGCACAGCTCCTTGTACACAGTCTCTCCTGGGAGTTCTCACTCTAATGCTGAGAGGCAGTTTTCACTCCCTACCCTATCAACCTCTTCTTATCCATCACGTGGTACTGCAGCTGCTGACCTAACAGGTGATAGTTGTGTATCACAGCATGAGGCAAAGCTGAGCTTGACTTTCTGTTTGGTTTAGGCACTCTGCTTGAATAATATGTTGGCAAGATTTAGATCTCCAGTTCTTTGAGATAGGCTTTGGGAACACCACTCTTGATCTGTCCAGCTTTGTATGATGGCTTGTCCAATGGTCTAATCTCTCCATCTCTTGATAGTAGCTCTCCTCTCTGAACCCTTTGCAGTCTGCTTGTGATTTACATTCATATCATTCCCAGAACTTTTCATTTGCAGAAAGGGAGGACTTTTCATTTTTAAAAGAAGCAAGGCAGAACTAATGTCCAAGGCCATGTACTAAGTCCATGGCCAGTCTATGAATGAAAAAAAACTTATCTGGATTTGCATTCCCGAGGTGTTAAACCATACTTTCTCCCCATTCTAGCTTCCATTTAAAATGCTGAGATCTACATATTTGCACACACCAGTAGGCATTAAATATATCAACCAGGAGAATTTATGCTCGAGTCTGCATTGCATAGACACAATTTATTAAAGTAAACACGATTTCACTACACAAATGTGGGACTTCCAATATTCCAAGCTTAGTCTTCTAAAAGGAATTGGATCAGAAATATTATCTAGTAATTTATTTTATCTCTGAACTTCCCCCTGGTTGTTGTCCAGTATCTTGTACTGGTGGGATAAGCCTTTTGTTCTATCTACTAGCATAGCTCCAGTAAACATCCAGCAATTTAATTGCTTTTCAGGAGATATTTTCATCCTTACACAGCAAATTAAAAAAAACATGTTACACTAAAGAGGTGTACAGTCAGACAGCGTGACCATGAAGGCTCCTAAATTGGAGTCACCTCTGTGTCCTTCAACTGCAGTGAAGTCTACAAGTCGGGGTGGTTAGTCCTGCTCTTGAGATGCTTTTGCATACACTCCCACTGTGTTCTGCTTTCCTACCTCTGTTGCCAGTGCAGATATTCCTTTTAATTCAGAAGGCTTTTCTGTAAGATAGGAATCTCTAAGTCAGTACAGGAGACAACAGCAGATTTTGTGCATGTTGTGTCCATGTGCCAAATGGAAGCAATGACAGTAAATAGCTTGCTTGTGATTACAGTTCACACAATAATTACAAAATGATAGTTTGATCTTAACGTGGTGTAATAAATATGTCTCAGCTTTTTCTTCTCTGGTATTGCACTTCCCACAGCTTGAATGCTTGCCCTGTCTCTGTGAAGAAAGCAGATAACCCTGGGGAAACAGTTCAGAAACATACTGTGAATTGATATTTCAAGCTATGTTTAGTTTCGAGAGACATGTAATATAGAGAAGTTGCAATTTTGTGTTAAGGAACAATGCAAAGCCTCTCCAACAGTTTGTAAGTTTATTCAGCATGACCTTGAACACTATTTTCATTTCTTGTTGGATTTCACCTAAAGCAAATGGGCAGATTTTAAAATTGTGCTGATGATTTTTCTGTAATGTTATATGTCTTTATGGTGACTTTTGCCTTGAAGCATCTGAGTGCAGTGCAGCTGAGTGCTCTGAGAAGGTGCAAGGACTGAGTAGTGGGAGTTTGAGTTCAACATCAAGCAGAATATTCAGGATTTGTTATGGCTGATTGAGTATTTATAAATGTTCAGCTGATTGCCCTAGTACTGGACTGACCTGAGATTTTGCTTCATGTACTCAGTGGGAAGTGATCAATATCTTGTTTGTTAAAATACATGAAAACAACTCTGAAATCGTGGTCTGGCCAGTACTGACTGTTATTAATTATCTAGATTCTAGTGTAAATTTTTTTTAATACCTATGAAATCTACATTAATGCCAAAAGAATTTTGCAGGATTATTTTTCTTACAAGGTAACTCCTAATGCTTGTTGTAGAATTATTTTCATCCTCTGCCATAAATGCACAGATCAAGCTTGAAAAACATTTCTCAAGTTAAGGGCAAGCCACAAGAATGGGCAAGGAAAGCAGCACAGTTCTCTGCATGCCCCTGCTGCAGCCACTTCTGTGTGCTGAAGTTTTTCAAGGGCTGTAGCACTGTGGAAGATATGTTGCAGAGATCTCAGGATGTTTAATGTCCAGACTATCTTCCCAGCACTGAAGTATTAGCAGGATTTTCTAGCCCTCACTGACATATCCTATTTCCTCTGTGCAATGCAAGAAAGAGAAACTTCTCTTGTAAGGAACAGGTTATTTTTCCTTTGGAAGCACATGGCTCAGCTAGAGCTTGTTCTGTGTTTCTCTGGAAAAAGCATTTTTTAATAGTGAGATATTATTGGATTAATTTGTTTGTTTTTCCATATTCATAATGAGTGTTGTGGTCACATAAACTGGAGTACTTAGTGGAGATAAAGCCAGTGTTAGCCCATGACACTGATGTATATGCACAGGAAAGCATAAGCACATTAGTTTGTATCAGTTTTGTCCATCAATGTGTGTAGATGTGGAATAGTCTTGAATCCTACACGTGGGAGTGTTGTGAAGTCTGCTAGGCTGTGTGCATGACTTTCTTACCCTAGTGTCGAGGAGCCACTGACTGAATAGTCAAAAATAGCTCTGGAGCAGCATAGCTGAGATCTTGATATAGGTCCTCCACTTTCAGAGGTACCCAGAGTCAGCTACCTAACCCCCTGTGCATAGTCATTTGTCCCCAAGTGGCTTAATTTGGTAGGGGTACTGAGAGCAGAGAAAGAGACTGTGTGTAGCTGGGACATGCTGTATTGCTACAGCAGCCTTCAGGAATGGAAGCAGCCATTCATCTGCCCTGTTGGGGAATAGCAGCCTTCTCTGCTGCCAGCTGGAGCACAAAATGTAACGATCAGACTCACTCAATCCTTCCCAGTCATGCATGAAGACAGAGGTGCTAGAGCCCCATATGACAGTAGATATTGACTTTGTCAAAGACTGCAGAAAAAGTGAAAACCTTAGGGAATTTCATTCCAAGGCAGGGAG